CTCCCACCCTCCAACCCCTTCCTCCCTAGACATCCCAGGAATTTGTGGAAAAACTGACCAAGAGACTGAAAAGACACCCCGAGGAGACGGGGGGCTTCCAGGAGGCCCCGCTGGCTTACGATGCCATCTGGGCCTTGGCCCTGGCCCTGAACAAGACCTCGGGAGGGGGTGGCCACGCGGGCGTGCGCCTGGAAGACTTCAACTACAACAACCAGACCATCACCGACCAGATCTACCGGGCGATGAACTCCTCGTCCTTCGAGGGCGTCTCCGTGAGTGCCAGTGGCCCCTCCACAGGCGTGCTCCTGGGAGCCCCTCTGGAAACGCCTCCTCTCAGCTGCCTCCCTGCAGCAGCTGGTCTCAGTCCAAGGAGTAGGGACCCCAAACCCACCTGAGACTAGAAGGGGGAAGGCCGTCCCATTGCTTCAGCCCTCTCCTTATTCCTTTCAGCCCAGATATGTCTGTCAGATAAGAACTATAGGGCTTTGAAAGAGGAAAGAGGTCATTTGCTTATTCCATTAAAGTGGGGAAACCACCCAGGGACTCAGTGACCTGCTCAGGCCCCACACCCAGAAGCCAGGCTCCTGGTGCTCTGTGGGGATTCTTCCATCCAGAGCTCATGGTGAAACTTCTCAAAAGAATAATGTTTCTGAAATCCAGGGTATGGGTATCTGGGGTATGTCCTATATGCAGGCCAATGCCATAAATAGAATTCATTCAGAACCTCAATTAGCTTCAGAAACACCAGGATTCAAAGTGTGAGTCCCAAGATCTCTCACACTTGCTTTTATCACCCTTGTGCCTCTGCCTGTTCCCCTCCCTCAGGGCCACGTGGTGTTTGATGCCAGCGGCTCTCGGATGGCATGGACGCTTATTGAGCAGCTCCAGGGTGAGCCTGGGGGCGGGGGCGGGGCGGCGAGGGGCAGGTGGGCTGGGCTAGGAAACCAGGAGACATCACAAGATGGCCTTGGTGCCTCTCTACCTTCTCTTTTAACTGTTCGTCAAGCTTTTAACTAATACTAGTAACAGTAATAGTGAGAGCAGCTCATGTGTGGGTGAGTGTCTCTGAGCTGCAGTGGTCGTGTTCTTCAGGGGGTGCGCGCTGTTTCCGCGGCGGCTTCCGTTCTGATTTCAGGAGTTTCCCTTTGGTGGCTTGGGGTGAGAAGTTGACCTGTCATTTGCATACCCATGGACTCAAGGAAAGCTGAATCTAGGAAACCTATTTTTTTTTTCAGCATTAATTTCATGAGCATATTTTTAAAATTGGTTTTTAGAGAGAGAAAGAGAGCGAGAGAGAGAGACAGCGATGCGAGGGTCAAACATTGATTGGTTGCCTCCTGCACGCCTCCATTGAACCAGAAACCCAACCCATGAACCTTTGGTCCAACCACTGAGCAACTGGCCAGGGCAGAAACCTGTTGTTTTTAAAGGGAACTTATAGAATTTTCTTGCTACATACGTAAGTAAACATTCTTTTTTGTTGTTAATCCTCACCTGAGGATATTTTTCCATTTTTTTAATGGAGAGTGGAAGAGAGAGGGAAAGACAGAGAGACACATTAGTGTGAGAGAAACACATTGATAGGTTGCCTCCTGCACGAGCCCTGACCAGGGCTTGGGCTGGGGAGGAGCTTGCCACCAAGGTATGTGCCCTTAACCGGACTCGAACCCAGGACCCTTAGATCTGAAGGCTGATGCTCTATCCACTGTGCCAAACTGGCTAGGGCATAAGTAAACATTCTTAATTTTTTTTTTTCTTTTAGTATGTGTAGTTTGGTTTTTCCAGGTCATGTTTTCTTATAGCTTGGCCCACTTATGTATTTGCAAAACTCCCATGAGTTAATTTTCCAACTTCTCCCCGCTCAGCCTCTCAGCATGGCCGGGAGAGCCGTTCCTTGGCGCCCTGTGAAAAGTTTCTTCCTGGCTCCCACCTCCCACATTCTCTCAGAGCTTCTTTGTACCAGGAGGAGCGGGAATGGCCGGCAGCCATGGGGAAGGGGGCGCGAGTCGGCCTTTGACGGGAGAGCAGGGTAACTAGGACAGTCTGGAATAGAACCTTAGGAATGACCGAGTTGCACTCGGCGGCACTTTGAGAGGCAGGTACAACTTATCTGTGGAATTAGAACCCAAGCCAACCAACAAGGGAGGAATTTATAAAACGAAAGTGGAAGCCACTGGGAAAACAGATGCCATGATTCTGTCACGAGAGGGAGGATAAACGTGTTTAACGCTTTAAAGCTGGACCCACAGGGAGAGAGATCTTGCTACGAGAGGCGGGCTGTGCGATGAATGGCGGCTTCCCACATTCAGATATTGGTCTGTGGGACCCTTTACACTGCCTTTACGTCAGGTTGCTCATCCACGTGACCGCTCAGGCCCTTCCAAGTCTCTTCAGGGCGGGGGTGAAGGGAATTGGTTGCACCACAGAGAGCTGCCTTAGGGAAGTGGAAGGCTGGGAGTGCTGGAAGTAGTCTTCCCCACCCCACGGCGCTCCTATTGTCTGCCCAGGTGGCAGCTACAAGAAGATCGGCTACTATGACAGCACCAAGGATGACCTCTCCTGGTCGAAAACAGATAAGTGGATTGGTAAGTGGTCCTGCGTATGTTTTCCTTCAATCCCTCTGAACAGTCGTGAGCAGCGTCATGCACTTGAATGAAGGTGGGTGGCAGGTGCCATGAGGTTGAAATGCGCGAGGAGGTGGACCAGGATTGGGTGAAGAGAAAGGGAACAGAATGTCCAACATCTGGGCAAGGAGGCTGGTGTATTGTGAGAGGGAATAGGCAGTTGGTAGCATGCACTATTAGAAACAGTCACCGGGGATTGGAGGCAGGGGCAGGCAGTTGTGGGAGACAGGCACTCCATTCTGGTCTCCCCGATGTCTGGTGCCTTGATGTATCAGGCCTGGAATTGCCTCTTTATTTGTCAAGAAAGCAGTTGCTTAAACTACAGGAGAGATGAGTGTTGTTTGCTGGAATGTACCTGTTAAAGAGGGCAGTAAGCGGTGTTCTGTGAGGGCTTGGTGGCTAAAATAATAGGAAGTGGGGGAGATACCAAAGGTGGGCATCGTGAGGATGGCGGAGGCACAGCAAGGGGGCCCGCCTGCCACCCCAGGAGACCCCCCACTGCTGCTTCCTGGAATGTAGGGCAGGCCCCGGGCTATAAATGCTGCATGACCTGAATTACACCTTTCCCAGGCCACACATTGAAATTAGCTTTTTTCCCCCTGTGAACTCTGACAAATTTAAGCTTCCTCTCGATACTGGAAACACCTTTGGGGATACCCCAGCCAGGGCTAAAAGTCACAGGCCAGCTTTTTCCTCTTTCTTGGAGCTAAGAGGCCAGACCAGATGCGTGGAGGCTCTTAGCTTGATGATTCTACAATCAAAGCTTTTGATTTGAGTTGTAAGAAACCTCATAATTTTCTCAGCTATCCCCCCTTTCCCTTCCCACTTCCCTTTCCTACAAGAAAGACAGGAAAACAGGACAAACAATAAGAGAAGAGACTATGAGGCCCGGCTCTGCCAGCCTGTGGACAGCGCAGCCGCCCCCTCTGAGCACATGTCGCAGCGCTGTCCACCTGCAGCTGCCGCTGCCTCCTCTGTCCGCCTGCCTCCCTGGGTCCTCCTTCCTCCTTCTTTCCCTCTCTCCCTCCTCCCCCTGTAGGAGGGTCTCCCCCTGCTGACCAGACCCTGGTAATCAAGACATTCCGCTTCCTGTCACAGAAACTCTTTATCTCCGTCTCAGTTCTCTCCAGCTTGGGCATTGTCCTAGCTGTTGTCTGTCTGTCTTTTAACATCTACAACTCCCACGTCCGGTAAGTGTATCTTCTGACAGTTTTGTTGTCCTGTCTGCCTCTCCAAGATGGTGATCACTGAAGGGAGAGAGCCAAACCTGTGTCACTGAGGCCACGTGTCGGGTTTTCACTGACCTACCGCTTCCCTAGGTCACTGTGCACGGAAGGTGAAGCCAGAGAGTTCCCGTCCCTGCAGCTTAGGGGCCGGGCAGGCGGGCAGGGTTCGGGGTGGGGTGAGCTGGTCTGGGTGGGAGGCCCTCCCAGCCCTGCAGCGGCCAGGCCAGTCGGCTTTCTCCCAGCTCTGCTGCCCGCCCAGGCCTGTCTTCCTTGTCCTGTGGCCTTTGGAGACTGACCTCCCTTCAGAAGGGGCTGATTCTGCTTTCCTCTCCCTTGCTCCCGCCTGGGCTCCAGCTACATCCAGAACTCACAGCCCACCCTGAACAACCTGACGGCTGTGGGCTGCTCGCTGGCCTTGGCTGCTGTCTTCCCCCTGGGCCTGGACGGGTACCACATCGGGAGAAACCAGTTCCCCTTTGTCTGCCAGGTGAGGCGCAGCTCCCCTGCCGTCCCTGCCTCTTCCCACCTGTCCCTGTGCCTCCAGGTGCGTTCATTCTGTAGCTCGCTTGTCAGTTCACTGTGGGCTCCAAGGTTGCCAGGGTCCCCACGGAGGGACAGCGGTGGCTTGTCTTGTCTGGGGGCTGAGAACAAGAACTGGATTTCCTGCGGAGCCTTGGGGGATGGGAAGGACGACGACAAAGATCCAGACCCCCATCGGGACAGTGGGGAGGCAGCCCTGCTACACCGGTTGGCCCTCGGGGATGCAGTGCAGGGAGGAGCCTGGCGCTGTGGGGAAGGGCTGCTGCCCGCAGCATCTCTGGTTCTGTGTTGTGCTGGTAGGAAACACCCCGTGTTCCCTGCCCACCTTACTCTCCCCTCTCCTCTGCCTGGTGCCTGTCTCCGGCCCACGCTGTGCACAGGGGTCTGCTCACCTGCACCCAGGCCACGGGCAGGCTGCTTCCAGGGGAGGAGGCAGCGGGGTGCAGGCTGCTGTGGGACACGCAGAGGAGCGGTGTTTGAACATTGAGGGACTCGGGTTTGTCAGCTGGAGGAGTAAAGGGTGGCAGGGCAGTGTCACAGGCCAGCAGCGGAGGCCTGGGGAGCGGTCAGAAGTGACGGCATTAGACCAGGAGGTTTTAGGAAGATCCCCTCGTGGCAAAGTAGACGATGGATGGGAGGGGTTTGCTGAAGGTAGGGAGCCCCTTCCTCCACTCTCCCTGGTGGCCCCCCCTCCCCCAGGCTGCCTCCGCTGCAGCCCCAGCGCCCTCTCCTTCCCAGGCCCGCCTCTGGCTCCTCGGCCTGGGCTTCAGTCTGGGCTACGGCTCCATGTTCACCAAGATCTGGTGGGTCCACACGGTCTTCACCAAGAAGGAGGAAAAGAAAGAGTGGAGGAAGGTGAGTGCTGGCGTCCTCCCCCGTGCCTGGCTGCCAGGCCCAGGGGTGACCGTGTCCTGTGCTCACCCGCCAGACCCTGGAGCCCTGGAAGCTGTACGCCACGGTGGGCCTGCTGGTGGGCACGGACCTCCTCACTCTCGCCGTGTGGCAGATCGTGGACCCCTTGCACCGGACCATCGAGGTACCGCGGGGTCAGGCAGCCGAGCGTCAGGGCTGCAGGCTGAGCTGCTAGGCCCAGGGCTCATCTGGAGCGGGGCAGCGGCGCCAGGAGGGCTGTGCGCTCCGGGGTCATGGGCAGGGGAGCCATCCCTAAGGTGTGGGGGGCCTGTCCAGGCCTAGAGTGGGATTTGGCCTCAGCACTGGGGTCTCGTAGGAAACGGGGCAGAGCTGGGAGTCAGGCACCAGCAGAGTTGGGGGACATAGGATGACACCCGTTTTCCTGCGGCCTCATCTTTAGACTTTCGCCAAGGAGGAGCCGAAGGAAGACATCGATGTGTCCATCCTGCCGCCCGTCAGTCAGCCAGTTTATGACCTTCTGTCTTGGACTGCCCTGAGAGGGGGCAGCGGCGTCGCTGGGAGAAGCTCAGGGTCTGAGGAAGGGACGCGGCAGAGCTGTGCCCCTGCCCCGGGGAGGGAGGGCCCTGGGGGTGGGCTCCGGCTTCAGTCCCTCCGCCTTCAGCTCACTCTCCTCTGTGGCCACAAACGGCAGACTCCTCAGTCTGCAAAGCTGGGTTCCCAGCCGGAGGGTGAGGGTCATGACCATGACCATCACCTTCCCCTGTGACCTGGCGCCCAGGCCGGGAAGGTGGGCAGGTGAGGGTGACGGGGAGGGGCTCCCTGTTCACGGCGAGCTTGGAGCTGGGGCGCGAGGCTTCTGCCCAGTGCCCCCCGCCGCTGTCGCAGGCATTTTCTATGGCTACAAGGGGCTGCTGCTGCTGCTGGGTATCTTTCTTGCTTATGAGACCAAGAGTGTGTCCACCGAGAAGATCAATGACCACCGGGCGGTGGGCATGGCCATCTACAATGTGGCGGTGAGCTCCGCGCCTGGCATGGGCCCGGGGGCGGCCTGGGAGGATGGGGACCCGGGTGGAGTGACGGGTGCTGTGACGCCTCGGGGCTGGGGAGCACCCGACATGCACACGGCACCGCGGGTCCGTGTCCCGTGTGCACATCCGCCGGAGCGGTGGGTGTGGCTGCCCCCGCCGGTGGGGGAGGGACCGGAAGCCCGGCCCTGTCTCTGGCGCACAGGGGAGTCGGAGGCTAGGTTCCCGCAGGTGTGCTCTGGGGGACCCCAAGGGTGTCTGAGCTCAGGGGTCGGCCTTGCGGGACGGGACTGGAGGGGGCTGCTTTGGGGCAGTTTGTGTGCGCGAGCGCGAGTCCTTTTCAAGGGGAAGGCCACCAGGAGCCTGAGCGCAGACTCTCCTGGGGGAAGGGCAGCCTGGCTCTGGCCCGTCCTCTGAGACGCCCCGCCCGCCCCCAGGTCCTGTGCCTCATCACCGCGCCCGTCACCATGATCCTGTCCAGCCAGCAGGACGCAGCCTTCGCCTTCGCCTCTCTCGCCATCGTCTTCTCCTCCTACATCACGCTGGTGGTGCTGTTTGTGCCCAAGGTGAGCTCGCTGTCTCCCACCTCCTCCCAGACCGCTCCCTGCCGCCTCCCCTCACCTCCCTTCCTTCCGGTCCCCGGGTTGCTCAGGTCTTTGCTTGGCCCTCCCGCGCCCCACACCCGCCCCCAGATGCGCAGGCTGATCACCCGAGGGGAATGGCAGTCGGAGGCTCAGGACACCATGAAGACGGGGTCCTCGACCAACAACCACGAGGAAGAGAAGTCCCGGCTGCTGGAGAAGGAAAACCGGGAGCTGGAGAAGATCATCGCCGAGGTGTGAGGCCAGGAGTGCGGGAGGCGGGGAGGGGGGCCCAGCGAGAGGACTCCCTGCCCTGAGACCCAGGGGAGGAAGGGCTCTGCGGGGCGGAGCCCTCCGCACAGCCTCCTCTAAAGGGGGTGGACGGGCCCAGGGGCCACGCAGTGACAGGCGCTCAGACTGGGCGAGGGGATCTGATTGGACGCTGCGCTGCCCTCCCCTCCCCCTTCTCTCCTGCCTGATTTTGTCCTCATGGTGCCCCAGTTTGGCCTTCGGGCTTTTCTTCTCAGTTTCTCATTTTAATTTCTTTTGTCCACCCACCCTCTATCCTCTATTTTCCTCTGCCCCCACCCCCCCCAACCCCTGACTCCCGGCTCCCACCTGTCTTCCTTCCTCCAGAAAGAGG